AATTTTGGGAGTATGGTCATTTTCACAATGTTGTTTCTTCCTATTCATGAGCAAGGAATATCTTTCCATTTTCTGAAATTCCCTTGGATCTCTTTTTTTAGAGTACTGTAGTTTTCACTATATAGATCTTTTTCTTCCTTTATTAGATTGATTCCTAAGTATTTTAATTTATTTTGATGCCATTGTGAAAGGTAAGGTTTTCTTAATTTCTCTCTTAGTGTGTTTGTTGTTTGTGTATAGGAATGCTATTGAATTTTGGGTGTTGACTTTGTACCCAGCTATGCTAGTGAATTTATTAACTCTAGGAGTCTTTTGGTAGAGTTTTTGGGATCTTCTATGTAGAATATCATGTCATCTGCAAATATTGATAATTTCACTTCTTTTCCTATCTTTTTTGTTTTTATTTCTCTCTCTTGTCTAATAGCTCCAGCTAATGTTTCCAGAACTATGTTGAATAGGAGTGGTGACACTGTACATCCTCATCTTGTTCTTGATTTTCTTTTTTTTTTTTCCCCAGAACCGGAATTGAACTCATGACCTTGTGCTTGCCAGGCAGGCACTGTGCCTCTGAGCTAAATCCCTAGCCCCTTTTTCCTGATTTTCAAGTAAAAGCCATCAGTTTTTGTCCATTTCGTGTGATGTTGGCTATCTGTTTGTCATAGATGGCTTTGATCAGATTGAGGTAAAGACCATCTATTCTGATTTTCTGTAGGGTTTTTATCATGAATGAGCATTGAACTTTATCAAAAGCTTTTCCAGCACCTATTGAGACGATCATGTGGGTTTTGTCTTTGGCTCTTTTAGTATGGTTTATTACATTTATTGATTTGCGTATACTGAACCACCCCTGCACCCCTGGGATGAATCCCACTTCGTCAAGTTGTATAGTCTTCTTGATGTTTTGTTGCATTCTGTTTGGTAGTATTTTATTTATTTTTGCATCTATGTTCATTAGGGAGATTGGCCTGTAGTTGTCTTTTTTGTCGGGTCTTTCTCTGGTTTTAGTATCAATATAATACTTGTCTCCAGAAATGATTTAGCAAAAATTGCTTCATTTTCAATTTCATTGAAGGGTTTGAGGAGTGTTGGCAAATAATGTCTGAATTTCTTGTAGAATTCAGCTGTGATTCCAGCAGGGCCTGGCCTTTGTTTGTTGGTACATTTTAAATCATGTTTTCAATTTCATTAATTGGTATTAGATTATTCAAAATTTTATATCTTCTTGATTCAGCTTTGATAATTTATACATATCTAGGAATCAGTCTGGTTCTTCTGTGTTTCCCATCCTGTGGGAGTAAAGATTTTCAAAGTAGGTATTGATGATCTTCTGAATTTCCATAGGATCTGTAGTGATTTCCCCTATTTCATTCTTTATTACATGAATTTGAATATTTTCTTTCCTTTTCTTGATAAGGTTGGCTGGAGTTTGATTGCCTTTATTTATTCTTTCAAAGAACCAAGTCTTTGATTCATTAATTCTTTGTAGTGTGTTCTTCATCTCAATTGTGTTAATTTCTGCCCTGATCTTTATGATTTCCTCTCTTCTTTTGGTTTTGGGCTTGACTTGTTCTTTTCCCAAAAGTTTGAGGTGTAGCATTAGACTATTTATTTGTTCTTGCTCTGTTTTGCTCATGTGTGAGTTCACCACTATAAACTTCCCTCTGAGGACTGCTGTCAGTGCATCCCACAGGTTCTGCTAAGTTGTATTTACATTTTTGTTTGTTCGTAGATAGTTTTTAATTTCTTCTTTATTTTCTTCTTCTTCTTCTTTTTTTTTTCTTTTTCTCTTTATTTTCTTCTGTGCCCCATTGGTTGTTCAGGAGGCTGTTATTTAATTTCCATGCCTTCATGGAGTTTTTGTGGTTCCTTTTGTTATTAATTTCCAGTTTCCTTGCACACTATGGTCAAATAATATGCATGGGATAATTTCAATTCCTTTGCATTTAGTTAAGTGTGTTCTGTGGGCTAGTCTGTGGTCTATTTTAGAGAACATCCTGTGTGCAGCTGAAAAGAATGTGTATTCTGATGTTGCGGGGTGGAACACTCTGTAAATGTCTACTAAGTCCATTTGTTCACAAGTTTGGTTCAGTCCTGTGATTTCTTTGCTGTTTTTTTTTTTTTTTTTAACTTTTGTGACAATGGGGTGTTAATGTCCCCTATTATAATAGTGTCATTAGTTATTTTGTTTTTCATGTCTATGAAGATTTGTCTTATATAGTTGGGTGCTCCCATATTTGGTGCATATATATTTATGATTGTTATCTCTTCCTCTTGAAGTTTTCCTCTAACAATATGTACTGACCTTCTTTTTCTTTTTTGATTATTCTTGGTTTGAAATTCACATTGCCTGCAAAACAGAGTAGCTACCCCTGCTTTTTTCTGGGTCCCTGTTGCATAGAGAATTGTTTTCTATCCTCTGACTTTCAGTCTATGAGTTTCCTTTTGAGTTAAATGTGTTCCTTTTATACAGCATATTGTTGAATTTTGTTTCTTGATCCACTCTGCCAGTCTGCTTCTTTTGACTGGTGAATTGAGGCCATTTACACTAATAGTTATAACTGCTATGTGTTGGCTTATCTATGTCACGTTATTTACCTGCTGTTGGATTCCTATTTTTTTCTTCTCTCTCTTTAATTGCTTGCTCTGATCGTGGTTCCTTTATATTGTTGTTCTTGAGATTGTGGTCATTTCTATCTTTTTCTAGAATATGTTTCAGTCCTCCTTGTTAGGCTGGTTTGGCCCTTACAAGGAGTTGTTCTTTGTTGTGGAAATATTTTATTTCTCCATTAATTTTGAAGGCTAGTTTTGCAGGGTACCTCAACCTAAGTTGGAAGTTGTTTTGTTTCAGATCCTGGAATACTTGATTCAAAGCTCTATTTGACTTGATGGTTACTATTGAGAAATCTGCGTTGCTTCTCCTGGGATCTCCTTTATAAGTGATCAATTTCTTTTCTCTAACAGCTTTTAATATTCTGATCTTTTGCTGGATTTCTGGGATCTTTTATGTCTGGATGTAGATTTATTTTAGTTGTGGTTAGTTGGACTTCTCTATGCCTCACTTACTGTATGTCAGGTTCCTTTTCCCTGCCTGGGAAATTTTCTGCTGTTACTTCTGAAAACATTTTTTATGGCATTTGTGTTGCCTCCTGCTTTTTAATTGACACCTATTAGTCTTACATTGTTTTTATTTGCATTGCCTTGCGGCTATTGAATTGGTATTTCCTGGCTCATTGTTTAATTGCTTCTGCTGTAAGGAATTCTAATAGCCTTTGAATTTTTTTCTTTTGGATGAAGGGATAGGGGTGTGTTAAGTGAGTGGACCATGGATTCCAACCCCTTAATAGCACCTGCATGGAATTTCTTGTCAAGGTGATCTCACTAAACTCAGAGTAAAGCACACTCTTGCTTTTCTGGCTAAAACATCTGTTCTCTAACACATACCCTTCCCGAACTTTTGCACTAACACCAGCTTGTGCTGCTTTCTTCATGGGTGAACTACTCTGACAGTTCAGCAGGGGGTGGGCTATTTTCTGCTCATCTTTACATATGCCATTTCTGCATGGCTGATAACACATTTCTGTACTATTGTTCAACATTCCTAGATCTTGCAGCCTCCAAATGTAACCTGTCATGTGATTGTCTATATGACTGATCATGAATCCACTTGAGTGTGGAGGGCTCCTTTTCCCAGACCTGGGTCCATCCACATGGACACTGAAAGTTGTGTTTCTCTGAGTTGTCTGTCTTTTCCTGGCTTCATTCTGAACTGTCCCCTGCAATGCGGGTAGTTAGGTCAACAGTTTGATTTGTGCTACATTTTCACATTCTTTACACAGTTAAACCTCTTTTTCCAATATTGATTACCCTTTCCAGCAAATTTTCAGTAAATATTGTGTAGAGAGAAACTTTTTTTCAGTCAAGCATAAGACTACAAGTGAACAGAACATCTTAACCTGCTCTATGTCTGAAAGTTGCCAGATTGCACCATCTGGGAAAATTAGATTACAGTGAAGATAAAACTCTGAAGTTCTGTTTGCTGTGTCCTGGCCAACAGGGATTGTGCAAGAGAGAAGAGAGGTTGGCTTCATGAGCAGAGTGTGGGTAATATAGCCCCAGCCACACCTGCCCAGCAATCAGCATAGGCAGTTAGCTTCACCCGGACCTCAGCAGAATAGACAGCACAGGTGGGGCGTGGAACTTGCCCACACTTACTTTGGAGGTTCTCTTTCTGTAGCAGCATTCTTGTGGTGCATCTCAGTGGTTTCTATACCCTTTGTGCATCTACTCTCCTGAGGAGAAGAATTCACTGGAAGTGAGTACTTTTTAAGATAGATTTTGTGGTATGCATCCTTGTGGATTTAGTGGTAGGTCCAGCTGGAGTTTGATAGATATTGACTGATTTTTTAAAAATCTCTTCTGCTACTGTGGAATGGTACGTCAGTCACAGAATCTCTGAATGTCTCTTTGAAAGCTTCCTCTACAGGGATGATAAGGAATGATTAAAATAAAAAGTGATTTATGCCAATAGTCCACATTGTGATGTCTCAGACTGGGATTCCAATGAGGTGCATGAAAATGGAAAATTAGACCCTCTAAAATGCTATCTCTATGCCCACACAGGTGTATTTGTGTATAAAGCTGAGTGAGGTTTTTTTTTTGGAATGCAAGGATGTGTCAACATTACAAATGTAAAATCAGATGTAGCAACCTTTGTTGTTTCTTTGAGTCTGCAGCAGGATGAAGCTTTCCACTGGACTCCTTTTCTGCCTTCTGCTCCTGGGTGCTGATGGCCAAAGCTGGTGGTCATTTGTCAGGGAAGCTGGTCAAGGTAAGGGCCTAAGGGAACGGGGCAGCAGGCTGTACCTGGCTGTCCTAAGGACTCCTTTGAACAGAGAACACATCCCGAATAATAGAAGATGTCTGTGAAGCCATGAATGGATAGACCAGATGTGTGGTTTTTGGTGCCAGGAATCGAACTTAGGACTTTATACTTGTCAGGCAGGCACTTGCCCTGCTAAGCTATATTCCCAGCTTCCAGCCACGTGACTTTTAGGATAGCAGTTCCCAGGGATTTTCTGACTACCTCTGGCATTCTTCTAAGGAAGATTCCCAGGGCTGAGACCACATAAGTTTCTGGTGGCCAATTTTCAGGAAGAGTGGGAGAGATTAGTCTGTTCTCTTAATACAAACTGGACTCTAGTGCCCCCTAGTGGAAGTCGGGGACAGCTTATTTCCCTGTCTCTGGGATATCCATGAAGGAGATGCCTCAAGAAAGTGGAATATACCACTATTTGCCAGGAAGCTGTGCACAGCTAATACAACCTCCATCCACATAGTAGTCATAACAACCAAGATTAGCTAGAGCATTTTGTTTTCGACAAGAGCTTTACAGGACTGAGTGAATGAACTTTTATCCTTTAATCCTGTGAGGTAGGCTCCATAAAGAAACAGAGGAACCCAGAGTTTAAGATACCCAACAGAGTTTCAGAGAAAAGCAGATTTCACCCAGGTAGACTTGCTTCTCAGGATTTTCTCTACTGTTTCCAAAACAAGAGGCAGGGATGTGTGAACACACAACCTGTTCTTGATCTGAGAAATGGCAAATAGCCAGGATGGGTGCCTTTGGAGGGCCACTCCAGCTCCTGTGTCCACAGTGAAGGACACAGTGAATTCACTGATGAAAGTTCTCTTGGGCCTGGGATGTAGCCAGGAACCCAACAGCCAGGGAAATACAGCCCTTTAGCTATGGTGGCAGGATTTTGTCTTCAAAATGCAACACTGAAAACTTTAGGCATTGGGGCCGGGGGTTTAGCTCAGTGGCAGGATTTGTTGCTGATCCTTTGTCAATTCTCACATACTCAGCTGAAAATATATTTCATTCTTTCATGTTTTTCAAACAGTAAGGACCCCTGGCATGAGAATATTGGGGCTCAGGGATGGTTTGTGAAATGCTGCTGCCACTATGGACATTACTTCCCTAAAGTACATTAGAGTCTCTGAGCCTGGATCCTGGAAATCTGGCCTTTACCGAACACCTCAGTGAATTTTTGGCATAATAAAGAAAGGCTGGGAGCAACTACCTCACAGCCTTTATAAATTATATAAACCATGATTAGAATTATATATTAGATATTCTCCTTTTTCTTATTGAGTTAAAAATTTTAAAATTCATTTGACACTATCCTGACTTACTTCCTTGTCTTTTTTTCCTTACCCTTTCTAAGAACCAGAGTAATCACTGAGCACCTATAATATTCTAGAGATTACACAGTTATTTCCTCAGTTCTTCTGCAAAACCGTGGAGGCTTTCTGCCCCTCCATTTTACCTAGGAGGGCAGTGACATTTTGGACCTAGGGAGTCAGTTGCCCCTTTTCTGCCTCTGATTATCAGGTTGATTTAAACCTCTCTTAGAGAACTCTCACATTTATCACCTTCTGACTGAATTCATTTTACAATTATAGTTATTAATGCATAGTACTATAAAATGTAATGGGTTCCACTGTGAGGTTTCCAGATTCCACTGTGAGGTTTCCATAAATGTACACACAGTGTTTTCATCATACCTACCTATGCTTCTACCCTGTTTGCCCTCTGTCCTCTCTCTGGTCCCCTACTGCTTCTCTAATATTTCTGTTCTACTTTGAGGCCTTTTGTTTGTTTCTGATATGAGAGAAAACATGTGATACTTGTCTTTTCTGTGTCTGATTTACTGTACTGATTGAATTCTGACATTGTCCAGACTGAAAGGTATACCCTGAACACTCAGATGTACTCAAAACAGGATTGTTCTTACTCTGTCAATGAAGATGGATTTTTGCCATTTACTGGATTGTATCTGGAGCCTTCCTCAGACTGTGGTATTCTCTACCTTGGTCAGAAGGTTCCCTGGATCTTTCTAGAAAGACACTGTATTGGTCAGCTTTCCAGTTATTGAGACAAAAGTCCCTGACAGTCCCAACTTAAAGAAGGAGAGGTTTATTTTGGCTCACAGTTGCTGCC